TATATATGTATGTATGAAATACAAACAAAATATATGTAACAAAAAAATGTAATATTTGATCGTTACCTTTCGTAGTTTCTCAATCATCTCTTCGATGCTGATGTCTCCATTCTGGGATACTTTGCTTTCCATTTGCGTCAGCCATTCACACAGCTCCTTATATTTATCACTGAAGATGGCCCATTCATTCAGCTTCTCACTCACCTGCTGCCTGCGCAGACACAACTGCACAGACAGATACACACAAACATACGCCTTTAGTTATTTCAAATATGGTTGAGCATTTCAGCTAAATCTAAGTAGATTCAATTAAATATTTAGCCACAACGTCTCTCTGTATCTTTATAATATGCAAAATTAAAAGAGAAATAAACACAAGTAGTGCCCAAAACTACTTTGAAGAAAAACAGAAATCAGACCATAAGGGCAAAGAAGTATGCTTACCAGAGCATCATTAAAAATACAGCAAGAGTGAAGAGTTTCTGACAGCCTGTACCTAGAGTTAAATCTTTCTACTGAAATATCAAATGTACTCTTACATCCTGTGGTGTCTCAGCTCACGCACCGGATGCCGCAGAAGACAGAGGGTGCATAAAAATCTTCCTTGCTTTGCATTCAAGTTTCACTTTGAGCTAAAAACTGGTGCTTTGCATTACTCTACTAGCAAAACATGATGTTTGAAAAGCAACTGAATTGCACAGCTAATTTTTCCTATATTTAATTACAAGAAAGAGTTTTTGAAGACTGTCTGTGGTTGTGTTTTAAAACCCAATGAGCTTCCTATGGAGCCCAGATAGCACTCGTATGAATGTGCCTATGATATCTTGAAAGATTTCTAAAGAGTTTGCACCAACAATGCAGGCATATGTAGTAAAACAGCACCACCTAATGGCCAAACAACTGTGTTCCTGTGTACCTGGTGACAGATCTCCTCCCACTGGCGGTGCAGGAGCTCAATCCGTTCCTGCAGCACACGCAGATCCTCAGGACTGATGTAACTGGACAGAGACTCTCTCAACACCGTCAGATGGGTCAAATCCTCCTTCCAGCCGTCAAACATGCTCTCCAGATCCTGCAGGAAATGGGTGCTTATTATTTCTCATGATTTCATTGTTATTCAGTTGCCCGCACTGAATCTGAACTTTGCATACCTTGCAGCGCATTTGTTCAGACTGCAGCTCCTCATGGCGATCTGGGAGCGGCTGGGAAAGCTGGCGTTTAAAAGCTCTCAGTTTCTCCAGAGATCCTCCGATACCTTTTTCGCATCTCTCCCAATCCTACACACAGTTTGAAAGAAGTCAAAGTGGTTTCTGAGACCAACACATTCTTAACAATTACAGTATCATCTGAAAACACCTTTTAAATTAAATTAATGTAGTGATGTAGACAAACTCGTGCAGACATTCGTTTGAGAGCAAAATAAAAAATGGAATAATGTGGAACTACTAGAAAGCAATATTTGACAGAATCAGGGTGACAGACACAAACTTGAACAGTACAATAATCTAAAACACCCTAATTTATATATATATTTTTTTTAAACTAATAACAGTGATATAAAGTAGTCAGTGTCATTTTAGTATCGAGATACTATTAGTTTTTTTTAATATATTTTACATTTGTTTCATTTCATTTGAATTTTCATTTTACATTTTTTGTAATTTTTTCATGTTTTTGCCATTTTTATTTTTATTTAAAAAATATGTCAGTATAGTTTTTATTTTATTTTTTTTTTCTTTTCAGTTTTATACTAAACTAAGAATAAATCTAAGGTTTTTATATATTATTATTTGAGGTTTGAGGTTAATTTATGTTTTCAGTTTTAGTTTTAGTTAACTATAATTACCCTAATAGTGGTATTCAAGTGCTATTTTAATATTATTATTAACTAATATTTATATTTAATATTTATATGTGTATTTGTATTTATAATATAATTTATGATATTGATATTTACATCATTATTATAATTATTTTATATTTATATTTAGTCACTGTATATGTAAACACAAACAATAACAAAAAACATTGGGTGTTGTGGGATGAATGACTCAATTTTGGGAAGATTTTTATTTTTTATTTTTTTGAAAGAAAAGAATCACTAAATTGATTCCAGACATGTAGCAATAAGGACTGCAAATGAAGTAAACAGGTGGCACTGTGACATAGAGAACTCTACCCTGAGCAGAACGGCCAGCTCTTTCTTTTGTTCCTCCAGGCGGATGTTGGCGTGTCTCCAGCGCTCCTGTATGTCGAGCAGCTCCTCTTGTAGAGCCGCTTCGGCCCGTGTGTCAGCAGACAGAAGCAGCTGTCTCCCTGCCTCCACCGTCAGGATGTAACTGCCCTGCTGCCTCAGCAGAACCTTCTCCCTCAGCTGCAGGAACAACCGAGCGTCAGCAGGGGGCGCTAACAGCCAGCACAAAAGCATATTTAGGTCGAAGGATACTTACCTGAACTGCATCCAGCATGGCTCGTGCCTGTTGCAGTGGCACAGGTGTGCCCGCCTGCAGGGTTTCTGCCTGATGGGACACTTCCACCAACCACTTCCTCAGCTTCTCCACCATCTTCCTGTAGCGCTGCCACTGCCGCAGGAGACTGTCTATGATGCCCCTGCGCTGCTGTGCCCGTCTCACCACCCCCTGCCACTGGTTACTGAGCAGAGCCAGCTTCAGCTTGAACTCATCTCTGGAAACACGGTCATGTTCAAATTTAAGCATTCAGTCTGTTCAGGTATCTTGAATGCTGGTATCTTGCATATGCATATATCTGATGATGATGATGCTGATGATGATGTCGCTCACCTGTCGTCCACCTGTCCCTGCTCCAGCATGCGTTGTCCATCGCTGATGATGGAGTGAAGGATCTGCTGTCTGCTGAACATCTCTGCCTGAAACAGCTGTAACATTGCTCATTTATTTGCATCTAGGCAAGTTCTGCAAATCATAATCAGCACCTAATTTGCTTTTGTATGTCTCACCTCATGAGCTCTCTGCTGTTCCATCAGGCTCTGGAAGTTTCCGGAAATCTCCACGGTCAGTTTCTCCTCCGTCTGCACCAGGAACTCCATCCACGTCTCACACTTCTCCAGAAATGTCTGCTGCTGTAGCAGCAGGGCCTGAAGTTTGCTGAGAAGAGAATTTAGACATCCTTTAGAAGGTGAACACACTTGACAATATCTACTGTAGTACTACTATATATTTCCATGAAGCTCTTTACAAAGCCCACAAAGAGCCATGCAGAGTATTTAAGAACGAGTTATAATGATATAATCCTTCTTCATATTGAGTTGGAGTTCAAACCTGAATCTCTCAGTGGTCTGAGCTGAGGTGGTGGACCAGCTTCTGTTGAGGTTCTGCAAGCGTTTGATCTCAGAGTCGTTGAGAGGGAGTCTGTAACCCAGTTCATTCAGCCTCTCCAGATCAGGAGCCATACTGCTGAACTTCAGCATTTGTTTCTGCACAAAAAAACAAACAAAAACACTGTTACAAGAACATTGGTGGTCAATTAATATACTGGCCAAGTCATTTTAAGTGACACAATGCACATTTACGATTTTTAGATTTTGAGTCTATCTGAAGTACATAATGATTAAAAAAAAAAAAAGATAAATAAATAAAGTGAATCAAATGAAAGCTGCCTTAATTTTTTCTTATACAATTTATGTATATGTAAAACAATTACAAAATAATTGTACAAAAATAATAATATAATAAATAAGATACAATTAACATAAATGGAAACATAAATTCAATCAACTGTGTCCAATATATTTGACTTACAGTGTACATATCGGCCACCCTGATCCTGGGTTATTTTGGGATTATTTATATACTACTATAGTATTTATTATTAATATTTTGAATTAGCTTTGATTTTTAGATTTTCAAATTTTAATTTTAGTTTAATTATTAGTAATTTTGTTATGTGAGTTAATGATTTTTATTTAACTGAATTTTTTATTTTTATTACAGATTTATTTCAAGGTTATTTTGGTATTATTTATATACTACTTTAGTATTTATTAATATTTTGAATTAGCTTTTATTTTTAGATTTTTTCCGATTTTAATTTTTTGTAATTTTGTTATGTGCTTTACTGATTTTAATTTATTTTTAATGTATTTTCTATGTAAGGTTTAATTTGAGTTATTTTCATATTTCAGCTCAAAATTATTTTATTTCAGCAAGTTGCCAAGGCAACATTTCAAATTTTTTTTTTAAATTTTCATCTAATATTTATATTTTATTTCAGCTTTATTTCAATTAACGAAAAAAAAAAAATGAATTAGTTTTAGTAAACAATAACAACACTGATCTGATTTTTCCAGGCATCCCAGCATAATTTATCCATTCAGGCTTGTATACCTTGAGTTCCTCCATGCGGTCCTGGATGAGTGACTGGTCAGAGGAACCGTTGGGATCCTGGCCTTTCAGAACCTCCTCAGCTTCCACGATCCAGCGGGACAGAGAGTCCAACTGCTCATTAAATGTCTCATAGTCCCGAACTCCAGCCTGGGGAGAAAAAAACCCTCAGTACCAAACACTAAAACACTCTCATACGGCACTGAATGCTCTTCTTCACTCACCTGCAGCGCCACCTGCTGTCGGCTCAGGCTCTGCTCTACAGCACTGAGGCGCTGGGTGAGAGACAGGTGGTCAGACTGGATGGAGGCAGCAGCTGATGTGTCCACCTGCTGTTTGAGCTGCTCTCCCAGCTCCAGTAAAACCTGCAGAGACGCCTGGACGGGAGCCTGAGAGCGCAGCAGCTCCTGAGGGAACATGGGATGAGAGTAAATGCATCTTGAATGAGATGAAAATGAATCTACATTTCTAATGTGGCTGATTATGAAATTAAAAAAAAAATTACATAAGTAGTTGCGGTTGCGAATTTATGATTAGTGAACACTTAGGATCCACAAACTATTTAAAAACTATTCACAAACCTTTTCTGTATTCTACAGGGTTTACAGTGGTAGATTTAGAGCTATAAATCTTAAATGTCTAGATATTCTTAATGCTTCATAAACGTATCTATAATGCCTTATACTACACATTATAATTAATTATACTGTTTCATACACAACTATAACCACAGCTAATTTAAAATCTAATCTAAAAATATAAATTAATTAAAAATAATTTTAAATGAATTAAATGCATTTACAACTCGGACTGAGATGAACATGATTCTGCATTTTTAATAAGGGTTAATATGAAATATAAAAATTTAGAGAAGTAGTGGTTGTTCAGAATTCATGATTAGTGCATTAGTAGAATAGACAAACACTTATTTATGAGAGCATATTATACAATTGATTTTAAGGCATTATATCTAAAAAAAATTTTTTTTTAAATAATTTAAATTAATTTAAAAAATAACTATAAATTATTATAATACATTAAAAACAATTTGATGTGGGTATTAATGATACTTCTGACTAACCAGACAATATATCTGATAAAAGGAGTAACTGATAACTTCCACAAGTTCACTTGTGAAAATAAAATTTTGTTGCTACAGTACATAATAATAATTGTTATAAAAGTGAATAAAGAACATGGAAACCACAATACAATGAGGTCTCATCAGCACTAACTAACAAAATAACAAGGAACAATATAATTTTGGAGCATTTATTAATGTTTGTTAAAGTTAGTGTTCATGTTAGTGCATTAACTAATGTTAACAGATACAACTTTTGATCTTAAAAATGTAGCAGTAAATGTTGAGACTTAATTAAGATTAATAAATGCTGTAGAAGTATTGTTCATTCTTAGTTTATGTTAGCTAATGTTAACAAATGAAATCTTAATGTAAAGTTTTACCACATAATCATATACACATGCACACACACACACGCACACACACACGCACACACACACACACACACACACACACACACACACACAGAGTCTGAAACCTGGAGAGGAAGCGTGTTTGCGTGGTGGGTGGGTGGCAGCATGTGTTTGTGTGTGTGTGTGTGTGTGTGTGTGTGTGTGTGTGAATGCCGGGTTTCCGTTTGACCTTTGATCCCTGAACTGTTGCAGACGTGACGGGTGAAAGGGCTCCAGCTCCTCGGCTGGATTCGGTTCTGCTGGAGCCTGTAATTATCGTTACGAGCTCCGGCAGATACGCCCATTTCTCCAGACCGCAGTAACGTGCCTGAACGAGTGCAGGACGTGTGAAGAGGAGAGCTGCAGCGTCTCAGCGTGAGCGCGTGTAAGCCTGGATGTCTGAGTTTATAAGACACACTCCTGCTCTAAAGCCCGCTGCTCACGCTGGCTAGCTGAATTTTAAGCCTCTCTAAACCATGGAAATGCCATGTTGATGCTCTTTGAAACTTTTCATGGTGTTTTCAAACTCTTTCAGTTGGAAAATGTCTTTTATAGCTGCACTTGCACGTGTGCAGAACACCAAAATTAAAGCTAATTTAACACACACACAGAGTCTGAATTGCACTCACAGCACAGTCTTGGATCCAGGTGGACACTTCCTCCTCTGTGATGTCTTTGTGGCTGGCTGTCTTGAGCATCTGGTTTGCTCTCTCCTCTAGTGTCTGGATGCTGGAGTCACTCTGTCCATAAAGATCTTTATAGCTCTGCCACAGCTGCAGGAGTGCCTTACTGCTCTTCAGACGCTCCACGATCTCCTCCTGCAGACTGTTCCACCTGAATACCACAAAACACACACACTTCCATTCCATTAACCTCACTCACAAAACCATTTGAGCCAAAATGACTTTGCAACCTAAAACGCTTGCAGGTCATTAACCTTTTGGATTACAGACCTAAGTTTTTCAGTTTATACATTTTCACTGAAGTCTTAGGTTTAAAGGAACACTACACAATTTTTGAAAATAGGCTCATTTTCCAACTCCCCTAGAGTTAAACAGTTGAGTTTTACCGTTTTCGAATCCATTCAGCCGATCTCTGGGTCTGGCGGTAGCACTTTTAGCTGTAGCTTAGCATAGATCATTGAATCTGATTAGACCGTTAGCATCTCGCTCAAAAATGACCAAAGAGTTTAGATATTTTTCCTTAATATGTAAGTGCTATGACAACTATAAAGCAGCACACAAAGCAAGTTATTATTATTTTTATATAATATATTATATATATATATATATATATATGAAGAGTTCATTTGCAAAAACCGATAAATGCCACTTTCAGAAAAAATGAGCTTATTGCCGTGCATTATTCTCCACATATAGCGCGATCTGAACCCTAAACACGTTTTGTCAAAAAAGCCGTTTTTGTCCACTTTCAAGGCATCGCGGGTTCACGTTTTACCGCAGAAGCCGACAAGCGCCCTTGTTGCTTTTGAACAGAAGCCGATAAATCCATTTTAGCGAATCAGCGCGCTGTATTCGAAACTCTAAAACATGAAATGTGGAAATCTGCTTTTGCCAAAAAACGACTGTTGGAGTTATCTGCTTTTGCTATAAAAAATTTTTTTTAATATGTTAACATATATATATATATATATATATATATAATTGATAGACAACAATGAAAAATGCACCTGGCGTTAATGTCTTTCAGTGTGTTATTGAGTGTGTCAGACACAGTCGGGTGGCACTCCTCCAGAAGCTGATGTGTAACTGATCCAAATTTTCTTAGACTGCTTTCTTGTTTCTCAAGGTCCTCCTGCAGGTTCTACAGATGTCAGAAGAAAGAACAGGAGTTATTTTTTCCACTTTCGGTCCATATTTTACAGATGCACTTTAACTTGCTTTACCTGTAGACTCTCCACCTGTAGCCGCGAAGCCTCCAGAGATCCTGTGAGCAGACGGTAGCGGGACACAGAGTAGCGTCCCTCTGTCAGGTAGCCGTTGATCTCTTCAGACGCTTGTTTGTATTGACTCCATTTGTCCTGGACAGACTTCAGGCTGATCTTGAGCTGTCCGATCTGAGACACAGCACAAATACAAACACAATTTAAATGCAGAAACCCATGAACAAACACTAGAACCATATATAAATTCTGTTCAAAACCTTACTTCTAGAGTACTCATAGAATCAAATGATGCTCTAATTAAAACAGTAAATACCAGGTGGTCCAGATTGGCCCATGTGTTATTCAAGGCTTGTAGAATGAACTATCCCTTAAATCGTAAATTTCTTAAAAGTATATAACGTATGTAAAAAGCTCAGAATGAAATTATCTACCAAAAGTCTGAATAGAGTTTGAAAAGTGTGCTGCAGCTGAAGTCTCACCCTCTCTGTAATACGTGTCTGCAGTATCTGCCAGCGGCAGTTCATGGCGCCAAGTTTCTCCGCGAAATCTGTTTTATCGCTGCGTTTGCTCTCCACGTCTGCACCACTGATCTGGAGCACTGATTGATTCACAAAGTCCACAGTGAGCTGTTTGCAGTTCACATCCACTCTGAAGCCCTACAAGAAGTAAAGGACAACAACATGGAGAAAACAGTTACACATAAAAATACTTGTGTTGCTAGACTTCTGATGAAAGCCATAAAATCCAATCCTACCAACAGATTAATGTGGAAAAGGATTGCCCTCTTAAATATGATAGGCCTTTTGTAGACTCTAACAGGTGTAAAACGGGTAAATGAAGTCACCTTGTATCGCTGCAGGTACTCCTGGATGACCTTTGACCCAACAGCCCCTTTGAGATTCTCCTCATCCTTTTCTATCACTCTCTCCATCAATGAAATCCAGTTCACAAGCTCAGCGATAGCGTGACGGGATGCTAGCTTATCCATCTGAGACTAAAAAAAAATAAAAAATTATATTCAAAAGATGAAGGAACTAAGAACCCCAGAAATTAAACTAATCCTATTTGTTGGAGCAGAAAGGCCTGTTTAGTGAGTGGAAGTGCTGGTCAGTACCTGGTGGAGTTTCTCTTGAACTACGGGAATGCGGGCGAGCAGTTCGGACCACTGAGAGTCCAGACGGGCGAGTTCAGACCGCAGGGACGCGGTGTCCATCTTCTTGAGTCTGAGCAGCTGGTTTCCCTCGTTCAGCACAGAGGCCTTCAGACTGGAGCGGGTCTCCACCTCCTTACTGAACTCCTGCACAGAAGAAAAGACAGCACATGAAATAACCTGGATCTTGTGCTTTCTGGAATTACTTCTTTATAGACATGCAAAAATATAAATAATTATACAAATAATAATTGTTTAATTTTGAATAATTATTAATTAAAGCTTCTTTTGAAAATATTTTCATTGACAAAAACATCCAACTGTGAATATAAATTATTATATAATAACTATATATTACTAAAAAAATAAATAAAATACAATAAAAACATGTTAAAAAACTTAATAAATAAAATAAACATGATCCGAGACACTGGGATAGGCTCCAGCAATAATAATAAAAAATAATTACAAATAAAATAAAATAAAATAAAAATTCAAATAAAATTTAAAATAAAATAAAATAAAATAATTCAATTTTGTTCACTAGCAAAGCTTGGACCAGTATGGTCTTTCTGGTGAAACTGGTTGACTAAATGCACCAACATCCCAAACACACCCCATGCCTGTGATTTCTTGCACTGAACCAGTCTAACTAACCAGAAAAGCTGATAACTGGTCTTTAACGGTCTCCAGTTCCTGAGGACCAGCAACAAACTGTGTGTTCCAGAACTCCAAGCGTTCCAGAGCTTCCAGTAGCCAGCGACTCAATTCAACAGACTCACGCTTATACCTATGACAAACAACATGCACATATAATAATAAATATAAAATATAACAATTAAACAACAGACATGAAATTCAGTTTAAAAAATCCCGACCTTGTTGAGTGCTTCAGGATGGATTCCAGGTTCTGTAGCTCTTTGTTGATCTTGGTGGAGTTGTTGAGCCAGTGCTCGCCCAAAAGAGTGAGCTGGTTCTCCAAGCTGGAGCAGCTCACACATGACAGAAGATGCTTCCCTTCCTCCAGCACCTGATGCAGCTTGTGTTGGTGCTCCGTCAGACTGGCTTTAAGGGCCTAACGTGACAATAATGGAAGGTCAAGTTGGGAATCTGGTATTATTAGATTATCTATCCTAATAACAGATCACACCCATATTGGCAAGTTACTCTAGACTACGTTACAACTAATCCTAACAAGGCACGATGGCTGAAGATTTATGATTTCACTAAGTACCTGATAGAGCTCTATTCTTTCATTCAGTCTCTCCTCTGACTCCTCCACCAGGCCGATGCTCGGCAGACTTCCCTCCACAGCCTCTAGCAATCGGTACAAGTCCTGATAGTCTGAAACTAGACGACTCCATGTCTGATAAAGGCACAAAAACATACAAATACATACGTATGTAAGAAACTATTTCATACTTTGAAATATTACTACCATTTAAAAGTTTAGGATCGGTAAGATTATTGAATAGTTTTGAAAGTCTCTTATGCTCACCAAAGCTGCATTTATTTGATCAAAAATGCAGTAAAAAACAGTAATATTATGAAATATTATTAACATTTAAAAAAAATAATTTGTATATGTTGTAAAATTAAACATTTATTATTATTATTATCAATGCTGAAAACAGTTGTACTGCTTAATATTTTTGTGAAAACCGTGATACATTTTTTCCCAGGACTTTTTGAAAGTTCAAATGAAAAGTTCAAATTCATTTGAAATAGAAATCTTTCCAGTCACTTATGACTTCTTCCAAAGTCCAAGCTTTTGAACAATAGTGTACAGTATATATTCATAATACTTCATAAAAATCATGTTACCTCTGAGATGCACTCCAGCTCAACTCCTTTTTTGTGCGCTTGCTTAAGCACATCCTGAGCCCGGGCTAGTGTCTCCTCCAGAGTCTGCCGCTCACGAGGCAAAACAAAGGCACTGCTTTTTTTGTAGAACGTCTCGGTGAGGACCATGTGCCACTCCAAACCTTGGAAAAATTCCTGGAAAAGAAACATTTGGGGACACATAAGCATATGAGGGACGTGCACAACCTTCTAAATAAACACAAGATGTATTTGGGAGTTTTGTGTACCTTGTGTTTGTCTAGAAGGTTGTGCACGTCGTCTACTGAGCTGGCGATCATCTTCAGGTCAGCATTCATCTTATCCTGGGCCGTGTCCACCAGATCAATTAGATCCTGCAGAACTCGTTCATACTGATTCTTCAGTGCCATGTTCTGGTTCAGCCCGCTCCGTCGAGAGCCCACAGTCATCACTAGTTCCTCATAAGCATCCTGTCCAGCACACACGGACAACTTTGAGAAGACTTGGGTATTTCATTTCTAAGCCTCTATAACTTGGGACTACTTGGTGCGCTTCTGTTTTTATAGTAACTGATAACACAAAATGTTGATGCCACTGACTGGTTGTTACCTGTAGCTTCAGCAGCTCATTGGTGGAGAACTGGTCCGGCTGTAGCTCCGCCCCTCTGGCTTTCAGCTCTGTTATTCTGTGCTCAAAGTCTTTCAGCATCTCCTCTGCCTCTGCAATAGTCTGTCAGAACAAAAGTGAGTTCTTGGATGAAGTGTAAACAGTTTTATTGTTAACTAAAACTAAACATAAGACTAATAATAAATAAAGCTAAAAATAATAATATATAAGATGAAGTATTACAAGTTTAAGGAAATCACTTTAAAAATAAATAAAAGTGTAATGTAAATATTTAAAAAACTAAAACTAATAAAAATGACAAAACAACATGACAAAATGCATAAAAACTTAAAATTAAAATGAAAACGTGAAATATTAAAAAAGAATAATATTATAATAATATATGAATAAAACAAACACTGGCATACTACTGCAATCATTGTTAATAAATATGACAACATCTAATAATGAAATACAATTAGTAATCGCAGTGCATTAATTAATAATCAAGAAGTATTCTTTCTTACTTCAATCTGTTTAGTTGTTGTGTGGTCAAGAACTCCTGCCACTTTCTGGATAATCTGGAACTTGCTTTCACTAAGCGCTGTAAAGAGATGCTGCAGCTCCGTCTGAAAACAAACAGGAACTGAGATGATGTTGCAGGGTTGCATCAATGTACAGAACTGAACGGTGCCCATCAAGCCTGATTCCCACCTGGAAAGCTGTGAGCTCCCGCATTCTGCTCCTCATGGTGTCACAGCGGCGGTCCAGTGCCGAGTCCAGAGCTCCCAGGCGTCGAGTCAGACAGTCGAGGGTGTCCTTCATCAGCGTCTGCTCTTCCTCAGATAGTCCCACAGAGCCGCCTATCAGCCCCTCGCTGTGGCTGACCTGCCTCGTCACCTCCGTCACTTCTTTTCCCAATGTCTGCGAAGCAAGGAAGCGTTTGACCGGTTTAACTTCACTAAAACTTAAGATTTATATATACACTTATGCATTATCAGATGCTTTTATCCAATAGAGAAGCATAAGCAATTCATCACAGTGCCAACGACATTCATGGTATACTACTATACAATGCCACCTTGTGAAGTAACAACACGACGCCGCTTGATATTTGTATTCAAATGTGATGTATTTAATTCTACAGCTCTATCTGTAGTTTTACTTTTTACTATTAGCAGTGTTATTATTGTTAACTAAAACAATAAAAAATTATTTTCGGTAATTAAAATTAAATATAAATATTATAAAATATAAATAAATAAAAACTTAAACGTGAAAAACTTAACAATTAGAAATGTTGCCTTGGCAAGTAAAATTACTACAACTACAAATAAAATGAAATTAAATTAGTGCCATATAGAAATATTAAGCAAAATTACAAAAACTTAAATTAAAATTAAAATTAAAACTGAAAATATAAAAATAAAAGCTAATGCAAAATATTCATAAATACAGTAATAGTATATAAATAATACTTAAACAACACTGACTATTTTAAAATTGTCTCTAATTAAAATTACTAATTTAATTATATTACAAATTTTCTAAAAATACTAGAAATTATACTAAAAATACTAAAAACGGTCTCTAATTAAAATGACTAATATTATAATAATTAATCATTTTAAGAATTTAAAATATATTTTAAAAAGCAATAATAATTTCATGCAATTTTAATATTCCATGTAATTTTCTGTCCAGAATAAATATATGTAAGGATACATATATATTTTAAAAAATCATATAAAGACTACTGGGATGCATTTCTATTTCTATGTCAGATACCAACTGATTCTAAAGTATTATATACTTAAGTGTACAAATGTCTCTAACATGGAAAAAAAAAACATCCAATGAGTGTGGGCGAATAGGTTTGGCTTTCTCCTGGAGGAAGGCTAATGTCTGTCTCATAGGAATCAGTTACAGATCCGCCCAATGTTCAGACCTCATGGTTGGAGAGCTGCGTCTCAGCGTTCTCCGTCAGCAGCGCAGGGCCAGAAAACAGTGTGTTCTCCACATCATCCACCCAAGAGGATGTGGCTGTGACTGCTGAATAAAGCTGCTGCTCCATCAGAATGACCTCTCGCTCTGTGGCCTGCAGAAACAATCAAACATTACCTAATGTTTATCATGACACCAACCACAAAAGCACGTCACAATGCTAAACTGTCAAATGAAGCAATAAACCTCTCAAGGCTGTGTATTGTAGTGATTTCATGGTTAAGGAGTGTAAACATTAGATTGTGTTTGTATCAAAAAGTCAGAAGTGTTTTATAATAATGTGGCTACCTGAGGAGTCATCTCCTTTATTTTCTGACTGAATCCATTGTGCAGAGACATCATGCTGGACTTGTCCTGGACATGAGTCTCTCTCTTATAGACCGGGGCTGCAGTCTTCACACAAGCAGTTCTGGAGTAAAACTGTTTGAAAACATACAACTTTTACAAAACACTCCACCAACAGAGGCAGTTTCTGATTATTACAACAGTTATGCAGCTCCAGTTATGCAAGGATATTCCCTGAAGGCAGCCAGGCAGCAAAAAGAACAGTGTTAAAGTTTAAAGGAAAATGATAGTTGAAAACCCAAATAGAGAAAGAAAGAGGGAGAGAAAGAGAGAGAGAGACTAATAGTAATATGCAACATACATTAAAAACAGATTTATTGGAGAAAAGATCTAGGCGACCTAAAATGTATGCATTTTAAGCTAAAATCTTGATGCTTAAAAGAGTCTATATATGCTATTTGTAATCTACCCTCATACATTTCAGTTATGTGAACTATTGATGGGAGAAACAAAGCTTTTTGAAACTTTGAATCACTTGCTTCCAAAACGGTTCACTGTTCATCAGATACCATTAAATATGAAATGTCTGTATGTGTTCTTTTATTAATTTACAGGGCTTGTTTTGTTTATTTGTTTAAACAAACACTTGTTTATAACAAATGATTCGAAAAGGTTTCAAAGCTTCATGAAGCAGTGTTTTGAACATGCCCATCAGTAATGTGAACATGATAATGAAATCACTGTACCGGTTGTTTGCTGTCTTGCTCCAGCGTGTTCATAAGGAGCTGTAGTTTAGTGGCCATGTCTTTTTTCAGACTTTCCCATCTCTTTCTCCTCTGCTTCTTCACGGCCTGAACGTCTCCCTCCGGCTCTACATCAGGCGAGAGGATCTGTGTCGCACTGCAGAACATTTGACAGACAGAACTGTGAAGAGAGAGTCAGGGGAGTGCGATAATGACAAAAAGTGATATCTCGATATTTTCTGGAATTTTGCCGATAACGATAATCAGATGCTGTGCGTGTTATTGTGCTTGTACTTTGGCAGGTTTAGGACTGCTGACTCCCAAAGCTTTTGATATATTCTGTGTGGTGATTAGTTTGCAGGAGTAACAGAAATGAACTTTTCCAATAAGTTTGAATTGATTTCTACCTTTTATGGTCATTTTTACCTTCACAAGGCCAATTTTTTTCTAACCTAATTAAATGTATGCATCATCTTTTGTGTCAAATTCTTACATTTCATCAATAAATTCAAATAGTAAGATACTATAGGGATGTTACCAATCAAATGAAATCAGTATCAACAAAATTTCTATTTGCAATGCAGAGCAGAGGTGGCACAGAATCTGCATCTGAAGTGGCATTTAGATGCATTTACACAGACTGTTTAATGCAGGACATGAATGCAGTTAACCTGCAGGTACAAAAGCATAAATAATGTTATATAATATATATCGCAAAAAATCATAAAAATGATATTCCTGTGAGATGTGAGAGAAATGTTACCTGGCTCTGACGGGTGACGCCTGCTGGGTGAGTATTTCCTCTCCACGACTCGCTACAGATTTCAACAGCTTCTTCTGCTCTGCAAGCTGCTCTTCAAGCTCCTGAATTAACCCAAAATATTGTCATTCCTCATTTAAACAGATGCTTTCTTATTGAATGCAACTTACAGTAGACTTACCACAGGTTCAGTCCCACTGGAGGACACAATGGTGATAGTTCTAGATCCATTCTTTTGTTTTTTAAAACCCCAAAACTACCTTCTTGTAAAATGTGATCTACCTTCTGTTTCTGGAGGGTGTCCTGGTGCTGTAGGCTGCGTGTGGAGCGGGCCTGGGCCAGCCAGTCCTGCATGTTTGGACTCTGGGAGAGACTGGAGTCTGATTCACTGGAGTCTGATGGCTCCTTAAGGGAATCCTGCAGGAGAGGGAAAATGCAAACATTAGTACTTACAGTGGATTAAAATTTTGGTTATCATTCTGCAATATTCTTATGAATAATAGCAGGAAAAGAGGAAGCCATGCAGGAGATTGTCATATTCAGACCGAACCCAGTGCTGCTGAATTATTCTGCACATAGAGTGACAAGCAAAATACTGTAGCTGTGATATATCATTATTACGCTCGCTCTTTGAGGGCCTTTCAACTCCTCCCAAATTAAAGTAGCCTGCAGGACATAAAAGACAAAATGTTTAGAGACTAAGAGAATCTCACAAAAAACATGTTTTGGTCAAATTTCACCCCAAAAGAAAAAAAGAATAATTTATATTTTATTTTATTATATTATATTTTATTTTATTTTAATAAAACTTATTGTTTTATATTCTGTTTGTATATTTATTATTTTATGTATATTTTATATTTATTTATGTATATTAGGTTTATATATATATATATATATATATATATATATATATATATATATATTTATTATGTACAATGATAATACCATGTTTTTTGGGCATCGTAATTTTTTTCATTCTTGGAATACCATCTAATGCAATGATATATGGCATATACATAAGTTAATTATTCAGTGTCATGACATACAGTATATCAAAGTATAATAGTATGAACACCTGTAAGTCGCTTTGGATTCAGAGTTCAAGCCCCACCTGAATGTTGATCTGCTTGTCCTGCAGCATCCTCTGCAGCTCTAGCAGGCTGCCTTTCAGCGTACGCAACTTCCTGGCCAGCTGCTCTGCGTCCTCCCTGTTCTCCGCTCGGCCTTCCAGCAGAAGATTCTCACTGTGTCTGGAGAGCTCGGAGAGAGCCAGCACCTTCTCCTCGATCTCCAGCAGCATGTTCTGCAGGAGCAACAGAAGCGAGGCCAGCTCAAACATGGTTCTTCCACTGTCATCCCAGGCCCTTACCAACACCTACAGCGCCGTACATTATCCGTAATCCCTCACGTGCCATGCTCCCAGTAAGCATGCATTCTTTAGGATAACAGGAATGTATAAAAGTACTTGAAAATATATCCAAAATCCAAAAAGACTATGCATATGCTTCTAATAAAAAGTCAAGGTGTTTCACAGTGGGACATCTGACAGTTTGTAACCTTCTCATGAAGGCAAAAGTAGCCCCGCCTCTTTCCCCACCAATACTGCAGCCACCCTCATGAATATGTGATAGGAGGCAGAGCAGATTTCCAGTGAGCACCAATCCTCTCTCAGGAATACTCTAATACCCTTAAAGCCATTATAACTGTGAACGGTGTTACGCTGAGACATTTACATAATCTGATTACAGCTCGTGCCACAGACGCTTAAGAATCAATCCATCTGAACGCTCAGAGGCCTTCTAATACTGCTGTTTACGGTTAACAAAGTTTCCTGTTCCTGAGTCCAGTGGAATTCAGCAAAAACTCAATCATTTAAAAACACAAAGCAGGCATAAGTTTCAGGAGTTAACACAAAATAATACATTTTCTTTTGTACTTCAAACTGTAAATAATTAATAAAGTACTGTACACATTTAGTGATCTGCTGTAGGGGGCGCTCTAACCTGACAGTCTCTGAGTTGCTCTTCCATGTCTGAGTCTTGAGAGCAGGAAGTGATGTTACCGCGAGTGCTCTGCAGCCATTGGTGCAGCTGGTCTGCCTGGTTCAGGTAGCGCTGTAAAGCCTGCGCCTCTTGCTGCTTTTCCACACGTTCACTCTGTCGCTCCTACACACATCAGCATATATACATATATACTGGGTATCTTTAAAGAACAGAAGCCTTTAACAGGCAATAAAATGAGTGAAAAAATCAGTACACCATAACTTTCTGAAGAAACAAATATACATATGAAAAAAAACTGAAAAAAAATTTATTGAAATACTGATCATAATTGTTAGTGAATATCCATCTTTCTGTTATTATGGATATTTTTTTTTTTTTTTTTAAAGAAATGAATGCTTTCCTACAGCAAGGACACATTAAATTGATCAAAAGTGACAGTGAAGACAGTTATAATGTTACAAAAGATTCCAATTTCAAATAAATGCTGTTCTTTTGAACTTTCAATTCATCAAATAATCCTGAAAAAACGTATTATGATTTCCACAAAAATATTAAGCAGCACAACAGTTTTGAATAACGATAATAAGATTTTTTTTTTTTTGAGCAGTAAATCAGCATATTGTAATGATTTCTGAAGGATCATGTGACACTAAAGACTGGAGTAATGATTCTGAAAATTCAGCTTTGCATCACAAGAATAAATCAAATTTTACAATATATTCAAATAGAAAACTGTTATTTTAAATTGTAATAATATTTCACAATATTACTGTTTTTTACTACAGCCTTGGTGAACATTAGAGGCTTATTTCAAAAACATAAAAGCCATTTGTTTTAATTATTATTTACCATATTATTTATTTATTTTTCAACATTACTAACTTTTTTAATAGGCAGTCACACCTGGTTTGCATTTCAAAACTACATTTGAAGTCACAACTTTCCTAAGGGAAAAATAAAGTTTTACTTTATTTTTTCACAACATGTTTGCAAAAAACTGAGCACTAATTATGTATGAAGGGTGTTCTAAAAATAAGTTAAATTATTATTCCTGGCATACCTCAAGAAGTTGGCGTTTTCCAGAAGCCTTCATGTGGATGGTGGTCATCCTCTCGGTCAGCACAGTGAGCGTGGACTGCATGGCCAGCTGATCCGCAGAGTCCGAGTCCACCGCATCAGAGATCAGCTCTTCTGTGAAGCTGGACTGAAGCTCATCTATATCATTCTGCAGTTTGACAATTTCCTCCATCTGATTCTGGAGGATTACGGCAATATGACGTTTTGTTGTGCATCAGTAATCTTATACATTTCTTACAGTGTAGAGCTGGAGCAAAAACAATGAAGAAGCTCCTTTAGTATTTCAATCTTCTCACCTGATGTAGGACCATTTGTCTGTCGGGACTGAGATCGTGCATAGGAGGCTCGTTTAATCTGGTCTCGATGGACTCCATCTTAGTAGAGATGGACTGTAGAGAGCCCTGATAGCGCTGCTGCTTCTCCAGAGCCTCATAGAGCGTCTTCTGCTTTTCACTTATCTGTAAAACATGAACATAAACTTGAAGACCAGATTTGAAATCCTGGTGCATTTGACTGTTGAACACAAAAAGCCATACGTACCACACTTTTCAGGGTCTCCCACGAGCGCTGAAGATCATCTAAGCTCGCTACAGACTCCAGCGCGGGATTGTACAGCTCCTGGATGGGCGCTCTGGTGAGAGTGGCCCTTCCCATGGACATCTACATTCAGGACAGTCAAGAGAAAACCATGCAAGATTAAATATATCATGTTAATACGCTACAAAGTCATTGCACTGCAGTCTGTCACAGACTTAACATGTACTGATTCAGGTTAAAATTAAGGGTACTATATGTGACCCTGGACCACAAAACCATGGGGTATATTTGTAGCAATAGCCAAAAAAACATTGTATGGGTCAAAATTATTGATTTTTCTTTTATGCCAAAATCATTAGGATATTAAGTAAAGATCATGTTCCATGAAGATATTTTGTAAATTTCCTACCGTAAATATATAAAAACTTAATTTTTGATTAGTAATATGCATTGCTAAGAACTTCATTTGGACAACTTTAAAGGCGATTTTCTCAATATTTTGATTTTTTTGCACCCTCAGATTCCAGATTTTCAAATAGTTGTATCTCGACCAAATATTGTCCTATCATAACAAACCATACATCAATGGAAAGCTCATTTATTCAGAAGGATAATTAATTTCATAATTTAAAAAAATTGACCCTTATGACTGGTTTTGTGGTCCACGGTCACATATGTTCAGAATGACGCATTACACCCACTATTACACCCGATTATAGTTTTTATTAATATTTTGAATCAGTTTGTATTTTTTTAAATGTTAGTTTTTATATTTTCCATTTTCCTTTTATTGTAGTTTTTCGTTTTAGTAATGTTGATGTGCATTTCTATCATTTTAGTCTTTTTTAATGTCTATATGGTTTTTATTCATTATTGTAACCATATACAAGCCATATAAATATTAGATGAAAATTAAATGAGAAATTAAATGAGAAATGGTGTTAACTGAAATAAGCTGAAGTTCTAAAATGAAACAAAAATAAATTAAAACTATATAGAAATATTTAAAATGATGCAATTTGATTTTATTTTTGTGAGGGACAAATAAACCAGTATAAATACGAGCATGTGATTCATTATTTGAATGGACTGGACAAAGATAAGACATTTTTACACAACAACTGACAATGTAGCACATTACTATACAAAACATTATTGCATATTGTTTCATATACTATTTCCACAAATAGAATGCAGTATACAGTATAAACTGCGCAGTAGACAGTATGTTGAGTTTCCATTACCAGTGAAACTGCTAATTGCAAAAGGGCAGCACAGGCTAAAAGTCTGCTAGAAATCAGATTGCTTTGACATTCCTGCTAATACCTTGCTAATGGCTGCTTCAGGGTTAGTGATAGGAGAGGGAGATCGACAGAAAGCAGGAGAGCAGATCTCACTGCTGGTGCCCTCCTCGCCAGACTCCTCTGTCACAGGAGACAGGAGAGACTGACAGCGACCAGCCGACATCTGACAGCATCACAAGAAAGAGAGAGTCACGGAGCAGAAGATATTAGTCGATCAGTTCACAAAGCTGTTAATCAAGTTATTTGATTTTGACATGCAAAGATCACAGAGCGATACAGTAAGTAAAAAACGCTGTTCAGGTAAGAGGGTCAGTTTTTCATCAACACAATGCAAATTGATTTCTTATTCTGCATTTTCCAATTCATCATTTTCTTAATAAGTACTTTTGTTTTGTTTTCATGCAAAATATTTAAATATTTAAAACTAAATTTGGATTCATCTGAAAACCCTTTTTCAAGGGTAACAAGTCTTAATATCTTATGCCATTTGCTTGTCAAGTAAATTGATCTTGATTTAAGGATGATTATATATTTTTAATACAAGCCAATTAAAAACATGATTACAAATCATGTTTTGAAGTGCACAGAGTTATTTAGAATATATGAACAAACAGCAATTGCTTTTTAAAATATTGAACACTCCAGTCTGTTTCCTTTTCCCTCAATTACACTGTCATGCCCACGTTCAGGGTAATGGTACGTACTGAGACTTGTGATTGGGTATTTCTTTTAATAGCATCACCGTCCAGTTCCTCCAGACTCTCGGTTAAACCCTCTGCATCACTCACTGTCAGGAGTGTGGTGGCGTGTTTAGCTTTCACCGTCAGCATCTTACACTTGGAGTTCAGGGATGCAATTTGCTCCTGGTAGCCCTTGATTTTCTGGGCCAGTTCCTGTTTAGATAAAAACAAACACAGAATATGACAGATGTTATTTAGCTACCCTTTAGGTTAATGCAAGAAACAGGAAAGATCAGTCTGGCTAAACACTAACAAGTTGACATTAAAACACAAAAACAAGATTAGCGGACAGTGTGGCATCTCTCAGCGGAATATCCATCTCACCTCATCAATGTTGTAATTTTTACCTAAAACGAAAACTATTCAATTTTTAAATTGGTTTTTAATTCATTATTTTTATTAATATTTAAAAAAATTAATTCAAAATTAATTTTTAAAAATCAATAACATTTATTCAGAATATTAATAAATACAATAACACTGCACCTCATGATGGTTAATTTGTGTCTGCAGCTCTTGAATGTTACTGGTGTTCACAGGTTGGTCCTGTATGACCCGGTGAGCATCTTCAATCATGGCCTGCAGGTTTTTGACTTCCTGTTCATACTGTTCATACTGCACCACTGCCTCCTAAAACAGATATAACACACATATGCACACGTTTATTTTTATATCACAAAGAAGACATTAATTATAATTACTACACCCCTTAACATCCTCTTTCAGACACCTCTGACATATTTAAATGCAAAATAATACACTATTAAGTTATTTTACGAAGGTGTTTCATCATGTAGACCCAACAATGATGTTGGTCTGGTTTAATATAGCAAAACCAGACCCACTCTTAAAGTACACATGCAAAGTTATTCATACTTCCTTAAAAAATAACCCTCTGAATATATCTCTAATTTATAATCCTTTCTGACAGATCATAAAACAAACACAACATTTGTGCCTAATAAGCTATAAGCACTAGGGCTGTCAAAATGACTGAAAAACTAAATTCGAATTTTCTACTTAAATATTATCAAAATTCGAATTATATTCGAATTTAAAAGGCATAATTTCAGTTAGGGGGAAAAAAGCTTTTGGCTTCTCTCCTGAGGCCACAAGAGGGCGCATCGAGCAAAATATTATGCACGTTTCTTCAAAGCGTAATAAAATAACACGACTATCTTTGAAAAAAACGTAGACATGTTGAACTTGCATTAATTTTACATGGCTTTCTAAACATGCCGTTCTCTGCGAGACGCGAGTGCAACGCTGATAGATGTCCCTCTAGAAAATGTGATAAATATGCGTTCTGTGTGAACGGCTTGGTTTCAGTTTTGACGTAAACAACATCTTCTCCACACTGATGCTCTCGTTTCCCGTAATATATGAATGAACAACGTAGCAGCGTCGCATCTAGTGGGTTCAACTGGATAGGCTAACAAAAGCAATAACACTTACATCGTCGTCGCATTTCGTACACCACTGATAATACTGCCTGATGCACACCTAAAATTCGAATGCAAAGTTTTTGCATTTGAATGTGGATTTTTATTTTAAATTCGACGAATATTTGAAATTAAGCATTCAAATGCAATCAATGACACATACATCGTCATCGCATTTCGTGCGCCACATAAGGCTGCCTGACGGCTGACGCAGACCTTAAATTCGAATGCAACGTTTTTGCATTCAAATGTGGATTTTTTATTTTTATTTCAACGAATATTCGAAATTATAATTTTTTTTTGACAGCCCTAATAAGCACGCAACACATGATCCAGGAAGATTCAGAAATGTACTGGATTTGGTGCTGGAATCGAGACCAGCTGGTAAGCAGGTGTTTTTATTCCCATCTGGTGCCGCAACAGCTCCTCCTACCTGTAGGATGTTGCATTGCTGGATGGCGGTGTGCTGCAGTTGACTGGCCTCTTGTTGCAGATTCAGAGCAGTGCGGCAGATGGACAGACTGGTCACCACTTCCTCAGGAACTCTTAAAGCGCTCTGACAGTCCTGTACGGCCTCCACCTGCTGCTTGAAGCTCTCCATGTCCGCCAGCAAACGCTGAAAAAGATCAAAATCTATTCTAAGAACAAAACTACTTCCCTTCCACACTAAAATATATGTAGCAAAAACAGGTTAATGGAAAGCACTTAGTAATTAATCTGAAGAACCTTTCTGTTACCAGGTCCAGATATTTAACCAGCCACTACACTACAGCCACAGACTTATTTACTTAGAAGAGTATACTTTATTATGTTTACTTTATGCATACTTGAAAGGAATAGTTCACCAAAAAATGAAACTTTGCTGAAAATGTACTCATCCTCAGACCATCCAGAAATTTAGCATTCCATCACTTGCTCACCAATGGATAATCTGCAGTGAATGAGTGCCGTCAGAATGAGAGTCCAAACAGCTGATAAAAGCATCACAATAATCCACACAACTCCAGTCCATCAATTAACATCTGACTGCAGAAGATCCTTTGATGAGCAAGTCATGTAATACTAAATTTCTCCAAAGAAGCAAACTTTTTGGAGGGTGTCTTAAAGAGGAAAATAAATACTTCTTGAGAATCAAGACAGATTAATGTACCTGTCTTTGAGTCAGTTGTTCTTTTAGACTCAGTCGGGACAGTTCTGGAGATGTAAGAGTGGCCTGAACCTGCTCCAGAGACACATGCAGGGCCTTCACTTCAGTCTCAAACCTCTCCATATCCTGAAACAAAATAGAAAGGCAGTCGCATTTAGCTAGAGAAAAAGTCTCCAGTGTAGTTAAGAGAATAAAACATAAAAAAAAACGTCACACCTTTGCTGCGTCCTGTAGACTCTGCAGTCGTAATCTGATGCTCTGCTCCAGCTCCTCAGTGTGCCGGCTCAGTTCTGACACCTGCTGTCCCATGGCCTCCACCTGCAGCGTCTCAGACAGTATCTCCACCTTCTCCTGCATGGCCCTCAGGTCACCATGGAGCTCACGTGACTCACGTAGAACAGACTGCAGGGCCAAAAACACAGATAGGTGATTTCACAAAAATAATTGAAGTTGGACTCTATGCTATTTGTGTATTCTGTGTATTGTGGTTCACCTGATACATCCTGATCTGCTCTTGCAGGTGTGAGGAGGAGTTCCAGATTATGTTGGCCTTCACCAGGCTCCTGGCTCTGTCTGTCCACTTCACTATGAACTCAAACATCTCGTTGTATTCATCTAGATGTGCATCAGCCTTGAGAGACAAGACATACCACATGACATTCAGTATATGAAAAGCTCTAATTGAAAGGTCATAAATGATCAAATAGCTTGTAGGAAATTGGTTCGATTTGACTAAGATCGTGTCTTTTTTCTATTAGCAAAATGTTCTTTTTGTCTTTAATCGATTAGTAGAATATAATAGATCTTCTTGCCTTCTTTAGCCATATTGTCTTATATTCGGCCAGTCGAAGAGTGTGATGATGGATCTCTCGTAATTTGGCAATAGCATCAGCCAGCTGTCTAGCTATCAGAGGGTTACGGCGACCAAAGTCCTGCACTGCAGCTTCTAGCTCAGCGAGATTTCGTCCACAGCCGTCAAGTTCATCACAGAGATGCTAGAAATACAGTCCAAGTACTTTATGGTCATTCAAAAGAGGGAAATTTGTTTATAAAAAAACACCAGAAATATTATCAATTAAAAAGATTATTCGGATGCAACACTAACTCTGGCCTCATCTTTGGCCTGATCAATATCAGTGGCCTTTTCCTTTAGAGACGTAGAGACAGCCTTCAATTTTTCGGACACGTCATGAATTCTGGAGTTGAACTCCTCTTTAATAACTCTGGTCTTCTGGATGTCTCTCTCCTTGGCTTGAACCTAAAGATACGATTCATTATTTATATCTTACATGAAGCTTTAGTAAAAATTGTTGTTGAAAACATATGTCTTCTACAAATTAATAAAAAACTGCCTATTAATCCATAATGAAAACAAAAGGGTAATTATGTACCTGGTCCTCAATGGATCCCAGTGCCAGGGACACTTCTGCCAGTTGCATTGAGATCTCAGATGGTAAAATAGTGTACAGGTCCAAGTATTTACTTTGCTGCTGTTCTGCAAGCTTGTCTACATTCTGACGATGAGTAATCAGCTCTCCATGCATCACCTGCACAATGATACAATTCAATTAAGGCAAATTCATAGTACCATTCTATTTACTTACTACTGTACACAATATGCAAACCATCTATATGCATGCAATACCAGAATGACACACTGTGTTTGCTAAAATGTGCAGTATACAAGCAAGATATACTGCGCTGGCTACTGCATCCCACATTGCAATGTGCTCAGCTTTATTTCAAATCATCTAAATAAACATGCACTATAGTGAAAACAGTGTTGCATACTAAAGTTTATAACATATATTGCCAGATGCAGCATACTATTTCAGGTATTATTTTTCACCTCCAGTTCTTGAGTCAGAATGTCCAGATCAGATGTGGGGTTCAGCAGAAGCTCCCTGGAGTCCTGGATCCAGCTCTTGACAAGACTCAGTCCTCTCTCCACGCCTTCTCTGTCCGACAGTTCCTGCTGAACCCGAGTCTTTCCTGTCCTGGCCTTCTGCAGAAGACTACAAGAGACACGGAATAAACAGATTAGCATTCAGTCCATATTTGGCATGCGGCATCAGTCTAATTGGGCCAATATGGGAAGCAAGACTACACTGACATTAAACAGGTTGGTATTCAGTCTTTACTTTTTGCGCTAGCTGCAAATGCACTAGTTACTGTAGGCAGCTGAATGACAACTAATATTACACAGTGTATCGGTGATCATACTGATACAGTGTTTCTTTAAAGTCTGTAAAAACATGGTGCCATTTTCTATGACAAGTATTAAACAGCACTGTATTTTGGTGGATTTCATTATTATTGTTTTGTATTGTATTGGAGGAAGACTGTGTACCTTTCTAGCTGATCTTGCACAGCTTTGACCTCCCTCAGACTTGGCAATTTCTCATGATCAGCCGCTGGCACAGACACCTCCACACCATGTAGCAGGCTGAGAGCATACTGTCGTAGTAGAGTTAGAGAAGACAGCTCCCTCTCCAGGTCCTGACTAACCAGCTCGTACTGGTCCAGATGCGACTGCAGTGTGGCTTTGGAGGCTTTCTCAGCAGTGCAATCAGGAACGCGGCCCTTTAGTTCTTCTGTTACAGCTCTTACCTTCATCATCTGAACAACATAATATCTTGTTTGAAAAACTGTCATTTTTTGTAACATTAACCTGTTTGCCCAAGCTCTTGTACCATTAAATTTGATATATGTATTCAATATACCATTTCAAACCATTTAAATGTTGTAGCATTATAACATTTCCTTAATTTGAGTAGAGGCAGAACCCCGGGATATCTGGCCACAAATACCACAAGTGAAACTGCACCTTTTCCCTGAAAGTTCTCCATTCGTGGGCCGTATCCTCCAGCACCCTTTCTTGACCTCGTGCTACACTACGCAACCTGGTCCAGCGCTGCCACACTGTGGTCATGGATCGGCTTATGGTGGCTTTACTGGCGTCACTTCCAATCAGCTCTAACTGGGACGCTTGCTCTTCCAGAACAGTCAGCTTTTCTTGGAAACTGTTCACCATGGATACTAACGACTGCATGCCAAAGATGGAGACATTTTGAATTGGTTTACCATCATGTAGACAGCTGAATAAGTTTATTGTCTCATGAAAGAGAGTCAATTCTGCATACTTAGCTCACCTTATGACTCCGGAGTTTCTCTTCAGCTTCCTGGTTTGTTGCAGCCTTGGCTGTGGAAAACTCTGTTAGCTTCTTCTCTGCCTCATTCATCAGCTCAATGACTGTCTGTCTGGCCTCCTGATATGAATTCCACTGGGCAACACAGCTGAAAAGGTCACATTATAACTGTGATTATAATTCAGGCCTACAACAGTGTTCTTTTTTAACATCACACTTAAGTCGATTTACAACACCAACCCCTTAATATATCTAAAGGCTCAAATGTTTTGGAAAAAATTGTATTCTGTACCAAACTGCACCTGTTCAGGATGTCTTGGTGGCACTGCAGCTGGTCTCTGACCTCTACGCCTCTCTGCTGTGCAGACTTCACACTAAGTGTAAGTTGCTCCTTGGCTGTAGGGTTGACCAGGTTTTCAAGTTGAGGTGGCAAAGATTCCAGCTCCTCAAGAACACCCAGGAACTCCTGTTCAGTGGCCATGATGTCTTCCTGTTGCCTCAGACACTCCTCGTAGTTCTCCACATCCACCCCAAGGCTGGCCTGCTGCAAGAAGCCCACAGCGTCCTCCAGCCACTCACAAGCTGTTTGCATTCTGGAGTGATACTTCTGGCACAAGGCGAGAGCTTGCTCTAGCGTTATCTACAGGAGAAACAATTGGATTCATTAGTGTGTTAGCTAGGGGAACCATTGGTTGATTAAGGAAGTCTTACTGGCTTAGCTAGTTAAGAGGTTTGTTAGGCATACTGGTAGGGCTGGACGATATGGCCAAAATTGATATCACGATATATTTCTTAATTTCGGTCGATACGATATAATTCCGATATCGATATGAACACTATTTACCTGAAATAGAAATATTTTGTAACATTATAAATGCCTTTATCATCACTTTTGATCAATTTTAAGCATCCTTGCTAAATAAAAGTATAATTTCTATAATTTCTTTCCC